GCTCAACCCCGACAACCCCTGCCTGCCGCTGAGGACCTCTGACGCGGGCGCGGCGAAGTGACAGGCGCCGTAGCCCATGGCTTCAGCGAGCGGTAGGTAGCCCCTCCCCGGGTTTTCTCACATCGTGACCACATTCCGTGATTCAAACAACAAAGGTAAATCCTGCTGGTTAGTCTTCGCTATGGCAGTGCGTTTCCTCCTTTTCTTCTTGTTGTTCATTCGTCCTTTCCCGACTCCTCTTCTGTGTTGTGCATTCAAATAGGGGTTCCACTTCCAGATGAGCTTCTTCTCTATTCGTGCGGTTACTGCTGTGCGGTTACTGTTGTGTCTCCCGCCCAGATTGGAATGCAAATGTACCTGTGTATGCCAAACTTGGCTATCCACGAGTACAGCCGTCTATGCTGTTTGCCTTCACGTCGAAGTACTGCGCTAGCATGCTCACTCCAACGTCTGTCAATACCCCTAGTCGTCTTACCAATATAATAATGTCTGCACCATGGCGAGATCCTGATATACACGCACACCTTCTCTGTCAGCAGCTGGTCATAGTCAGAAACACAGGCGGTCAACAACGCATGTATCCTCCTGGCCCACCTAATCTCCCCTCTAGCCATAAGTGCCAGCGTAGTCAGTCTGTAAGCTCTGTTAACCACTTGGCAGTCTTTCCACTTCCGTTCGGTAATCAACTTCTTGATCGTGATACTACATTGAGTAACCAGACTCCATGTCACCTCTGATGGCACACTCGAACAGGATGCCGATATCTGCTAGTGCCCATTTGGCTGAACATCCTTGGATGTGGCCTGCCCTTCCGAGTATTCTACCTCAACTTCTTCAGACGAACTACCATCCCCTTCTTCATCTTCAGACTCTGATTCGCTGGATTCAACATCGTCACCGGCTCGACCACCCCTGGCTTCGCCCCTCGTCTCCTTCTTATCCGGAAGATCTTCAGTGTCCGATACAATGAGGCCCGAGATCTTCCTCAATGCTACGCGCGCCTGTGACATGCTTTTGTACCAGACCCCGTGCATCACGCATAATTTCTTCAGATCCTCCATCTGGAGAGCGCTCAGCATATCCTCCGAAATCTGCTTCCCTTGTAGGATCCTCCTTCTTGCCGACGTGCGCCTGGCGCTCTTTCGCGGATCCTTTCCTCGTAATGGTCTCTTCATCGTTCTGCTTCGTCCAGCCTCCTCAACTCTCGGCGTACTCTTCTGCTTCGCCGGCGTCTTCCTGTTATCCACCATCTGCCGTGGTGAGATGAACTGTCTTCTCGCTGGAGTTTGGAGGCTCGAGATTGAGCCTTTAAGTGAGGTGATATCATACTTCAAATTCCTCATCTCGTCCAGTTGCCCTTTGAGGGCCTTCATCTCCAAGGCGACTTTTGAAACTTCGCTCTCCTTCTCCTTCTCCTTCACCCTGCATGGTTACTGTGGTAGTGTATTCCCTTCATTAGCCTTTCGTTCTGCTTGCGATGACGATTGGATCGCAGCATCCACTACTAGCTTAAGTTTGTCACTTGTAACGTACTCAGTGCGTCCTTTCTCTTCTGCCCTGAATTCGTTAGCCAATTTGTCCACCCGTTTGCGTAGTCTGTCGAGTTCACGCCGCAGCGAGTAGAGCTCTTCCCTTAACTCGACAGTAAACCAGACCCTGTTTCCAGGCGCCGGCTTGTTATACAGGAAATCCTACCTCCTCTCTTCTCTCTCCCGTGAGGGACTCCGTCGTCTCCGCCTGCTCGCCGTTGATGATACCGATCTCGATCTACGCCTCTCATGCCTCTTCTTGTCATCTTCGGACCGCTCACGCGATCGGTCTGTCCTCTTGGAAGGTGATCTGCCTCTCCGTGAATCCTCTCTCCTCCTCCTTCGGTCAGGTGATCTAGATCTGGATCTGGAGCGTGATCTCCCCATCCTGAACACGGATCAAAGCCTAGTGCTAGCGAATACAGATCCACGTGCTAGTCGCTGCTGCCTTGAAATCACAACGCGTTCCTATGTCGCCGCCCGTGCCAAGTCCAATCACGCTAAAACCCACGCATCCAAAAACGTCATCCAGCATACGATGTACCGCAAAAGCGACTCATTGTAATATTGTCCGAACTCAACTCGAAAAAAGCTAGTCCTAATCAAGCAAACTCAACCGCGTAGACCGGCAAATTGACGGTCCTCCCGTCAGTAATGAAATACGAGTTAAAAGTGAATCAATCGCTAGCTCACCGAACACCGCGGAATTAACGAAAGATCGAAAACATAGAAACCTCTAGCTGCTAGTAGTAAATCACTTGATAATAACTCCCGAAGTACTTATCGCTCCCGTACATAGCGCCTTGGAAAAAGCTCCAATTGCGAACAAGTAGAAAGCGATATACCATAAGCAGCCACATTACGCGTGTAGGAACTCAACGCAGCTCTCATAGCACTCTGTTCCGCTCGCCATACCTGCAAAAAGACAACCACAAAGATCCCTATCGATCGACGGATCGACGGTAGGTTCGCTCACCGACCAACACAGGTATAATCTCCCGTAAGCTCGAAGTGAGCTGCGTGAAAAGTCATTCATACGATTTAGCACAAAATGTGAGGCTTTACTCTCGAGGAGGACATAATGTGCTACAAAAATGATGCATTGGAAAGCATGCTGCACTAGTATGTGAGCAGCCTCCAGCATCGCTCTTCTGCCTCGTCCACTCAGGTGACGTCAATCCTCTACTACTCTCAATATATAGTTGTCTCCTAGGCTTCGTCCGTGTCCAAAAATTCCAGAAACTTCACTTCACCTACCGTGCATCCTCATTCCTCAATCACCCCCAATCGTACCGTTCGACCCTGAGTTTCCCGTAGACCCATAGTACCACAATGCTTCCGTAGATTGTCGTATTCGTATCCCGGAGGTGACTATAGGCTAGTTTCCAGGTTCAAAACCCAGTGTGCGTCAAAAAATTATCAAAACCCCCGCACACCGTGCACCCTTCCTTCTCAGTACCCCCAATCGTACCGTTCAACCAGAGCCTCCGAGTAGTCGCATCGATCCTTCCGATGTTCGTCGTACCCTCGTATCCCGGAGGTACCCATAAGCTAGTTTCCAAACCCCGGGATCCTTTGTGTATCGCAGCTACTCACCGATTCCAGTGTGCTGTGGTCGTACCCGTTTGACGGTTAGTGCAAGTGTCAGAGAGCCTGTGTAGGCCCTTCCTCTGCATGGATACGCCAATCATCAGTTCAAGAAGGCGGTTAAAAAACAATTCTCTTATTTATTTATTTATTTATTATTTATTTGTTTGTTTGCCTCCGGCGGCTGTGGTATAGCCATCTTACGACCTTCGCTGCTGCCTTTTTGTTCATCTTCGTTCTCCGGATGGCAAAAATTGCATGCCTTAATACATCTGCTGGATATCCCAGTTGCCGTGCTTCTTCAAAAAACCACTTTATCACGTCAACCATGTCAGACTGACAGGTTGAGTTTGCCAATATCCGGTGAAGTGTGCCAAGTATCGTGATCTCTTTAGCTCTTCGAGGACGAAAACTCTTGAAGTCCTTAATCGTGTGGAAATGATCAACAAAAGAAAGGCTTGCAAAGTGTGGAGTGGTTGCCAGGTTGGAACTTGGAACTGCAGTTGGCAGAGGGGGATCGCCAGGCGGAGCTGCGCTAGCTGTGTTAGCTCACGCAGCCAGAGCTTGCTGTTGGAGAAGTGGAGCAGGACCAAGCCCCGGACGTCGAGTTCAGTCCCCCCCCCGCCCTCCGGTCAACCCCCCCCCCCCCCCCCCCCGT